ATTTAGGTAATATACAAATATACAATCGTCGATGTTCTAATGAATATTTTCATGTTATAATCTGGTATTTTAACCAAATAATTATTATTGTACACAACGGGKCACGGGGGYRAAAKWATWMTTWYGCCCCCRTTAAATCAATGTACGGGGGCGATCGCCCCCTTTGCCCCCGCGGAGTTGGCGCCTATGACTTCAAGATGAATTTGCCTGCTATCTAACGAAATCTGATACATCGTTTTATATATTTATATAATTATCAACTGATAAAGTAAATATTATTTGCTTTTTTTTGCTGTATTAAAATTGTCTTCTTCAAGCTTTTAATGCAATATTTAGTGATTTTAATATGACTAATCAATTGTTTATCATAATTTAGGTTTAAAATAACTTTTTACTGTTTATGTTAGCGTAGTCAATGGTTTATGGGAAACATTAGAAGTAGGATAATATATGTTTTATTATATATTTATACATATAGGTATCTATTTTTATATGGCCTACAGGGAAATTTAAAAAATAGCCTGCTTGAAACATTGCACACACGAACAAATCTGAAATAACGTCCCTGACGAAATACAATTACTTAAATGTATATAACTCAAAACAATATTTTTAAGATGATTTGATTTACAAATCAAAAGCTAAGAACCTATGTGGTTAAAACTTAAATTCTAATAATAAAAAAAAAATTACATAATTATAGGTATACCGTATACATAAAGTAAAATTGTTTAAACGTTTTAAATCGTTTGTCGATAATAGTTGCTATAGCTATAGTGATTTATCACTGACCGTTGCTTTCACGTTTAAAATAATAATACACTGGCTTGAATCCAAGGTGAGCCGAGTGAGAAATTGTAATGTTCAACATTTAGTACTGAGTACACCTATACGTGTATTCGTGTACGGTGTACTTACCCCAGGCTGTAACCCATCCTAAATACAGTTGCGAAGAGCATCCGCATTTTTGTGTATGGGTTAATTGTAAATTGTTGTATAATTCTATATTAAACATTGCTACAATACAACCATTCTCTAACAAGCCAATTTTATGTCATGGTAAAATTATAATAATTGTAAAATAGGTACCACAAAATGTTTTAACACTTAACTACCTATAAACAGTATAAACGCACACGAAGACACGACGAGTGACTTGAACGCGCACATAGCAATGTTTTGGTAGAGTATTTATTAATATTAAATTTTATCATGTTTGGTGTAGATGGTGTAGGCACAATATTAAATATTGATGTAAATAGATGCATTATACGATTTGCATAACGATTGTAATAATAGGTAATTAAATAAAAGTTACCTATGTGTCAATACTGAAGTGAATTATAATCTATGTAAAATTATTATAATTTATAACATGCAAGATACCGGATCATTATTATACATAATTTACAATCCTAATTTTATTGTTTTCATTTTTTAATC